CCTGTAGTTCACAGTATTCAGCATGTAGGGCCAAATAGATTAGCAATCATGGTTGATTCCTTTAGTATTTATCAGACACATGAAAAGTTTACACTAAGAGTGAAAGTAGGTAGAGTTTAAAAAAGTAAGTTGAAATAGGAAATCCAACCATTTTCAGATAACTGCCTAATATTTTTAGACTTGTATGGTCTTGAAGTTCTCTGGGTATTTTTTTAAAATGTTTTTCTACATGGTATAGTTTCCTTATCCTCCCTGCATCACTGTTAGCATAAAATGATACAGAGTAATAATAAAAGAAGTGATAATAATAAAACCTAACATTATCCAGCCAGCATTTCCTGTGTGCTAGGTTCTAAGGATGACCTGAATATTTTCTGCTAGGAGACATAGCTAAACATTCAGATTGTAAAATTATCAGCTGTAATAAGTAGTGTAAAGGGTGTCTGTGTAAGGGCGCATTTGAGCAATTTAGGGAGATCAATAAAGACTTCTTTGGGTAAGCTCATCTTCAACATTGTAGGGCAAGGTGTAAAATGAATATCTGAGGCTCTTGCTCACAGACTCAGAGACTCCAGACTGGAACAGCAGAACACTTGAACAGGTCCTTCCTGAGTGCTGGCTCTGTTAAGCTGCATAGGTTAGATGTCCACAAACCAGACTCTGCCTAAGCAAGTGATGTTTGAGCTGAGATGTGATGACACAAGAGGAAGGGAAGACCATTTTAAAGAGAGGAAACAGCCCAGAAGAGTTTGGTGTATTCAGAAACTGGATGAAGGTCGTTAAGGATGGAATGCAGGGTGGGAAGCACTCAGGTGTGTGATAGGTAGAAAGAGGCCAAGAAGGATCTGGGACATCATGTTGAGGGTTTGGGTCTTCATGCAAAGAACCACATGTAACTCTTGGTATGGTTTAGGCATAAGTAACTTGCACTTTGTCAGTACTGAACAACCCTTTCTCCCAACTTGCATTTTTTCATCAACCCCCTTTTAAGAAACTTATTTTAGTTTTACCTTTTCTAGTTATTCTGAGGCTGCTCCTTCTCTATGGATGTTTAAAATGGCCTTTCATACTAGGGAGTAGTTTAGTAATAGAAGTTGAAAGTACATATGGGTAAGTGATATGAAATATTATTTACTATTGGAAGTAATTTTATGGTCTAAAACATTTCAAGTCAACTGAAGAACACTTAGTTAAAAACTGAAAAATGTTTTGTTTTAAAAATAATTTAAAAATGCTACAGGTATTTGTTGTGGAATAATCCTTTTGTACACTAAAGATTTGTCACTCAAATTGGTTTAATAAAAAGCAAACTGGTCAGTAGCCAGGCTGGAAGTATAGGTAGGACAACCAAACTAAGAATGCTGGGAAGAAGGAGGGTGGGAAGAGGAGCCACCAGCAGATGCAGAGGAAGCAGGACATGTAGAAAATGAGGTAACAAGCCATGAGCCCCGTGGCAGAGGGTAAATAAGAAATATGGGCTAATTTAAAATGTAAGAGTTAGCTAGTGACAAGCCTGAGCTATTGGGTGAGCATTTATAATTAAGATTCTGTGTTGGTTATTTGGGAACTGGTGGGTGGGAAAGAAAAGCCTGCGTACAGGTATTATAAGTCTCTATTGTCATCACTATGCTTTAAAAATGTCCGTCTCCCTTTATTTGATACATATCAGGGCAAGTAGTGGAGTGGGTATTGACTTGCTTGACATTGGGAAAGAGAAAAGTGGAGAAAGAGTTGTTGTTTTTTTTTTTTCCCCGGACTGCCTCTGTAATCAGGTATTCACAATAAAAGGCTTTAAATCATGTTACTGGAAGCAAGAAGTAGTCTTTGTATTTAGCCATGTGTGGGTGGTAATTGTCATGTTTCTTGGTTTTACTTAGACCAGTGGTTTTCAACCTTCCTAATGCTGAGACCCTTTAATACAGCTAATCATATTGTGATGACCCCCAACCCTAAAATTATTTTGTTGTTACTTCATAACTGTAATTTTGCTACTGTTAGGAATCATAATATAAATATCTGATATGTTCAATCCCAAAGGAGTTGCAACCCACAGGATGAGAACTACTGACTTAGATAGACTGGCACCTCCATGGATTGTTGATAGATATAGCAACATGCCACCCAACATGGGATTTTTGCTTTTGGCACACTTACAGAATAGCAGTAGTGATTTCATTTCCTATATTATAATTATTTAAACTAGGTCACGTTCGTTCACTGTGCTGAAAAAAGCAGTGGTATTTGTATGCTCAGGTGTAGCAGGTCATTTTCTGCATACAGTTTCTTATCTGTCAATCCATGATGCTGGAGTTCACAGGTGCAAAAATTAAATTGCTACATAAGTTACATCAATCTACTTGCCTTCTTTTTTTAAACTGATATGTTCTATTTGTGAAGAAAGTATCAAATATTTGGTAGAGTTTCTTCCTGGGAAGTTATTTTCAATAACTTATGAGTTGAAATATATTTTATATATTGGACCAAAGAAAACATTTACCCCCTCTACCTTAGTTTCCAGTTGTAGTTCTTTCATACCAGAGCTTTTGGTATTTATAGGCAACTTACTTTGCAGTCAAACTTGCAAAGTTTCTATTGCTTTTCTATACTCTATTAGCTTAGATATAGAGAATCCATCATAGTGGAGGTGATGAATTAAGTGTGTGTGTGTGGTGTGTGTGTGTGGTGTGTGTGTGTGTGTGTGTGTGTGTGTGTGTGTGTGTGTTGGTTGAGTTTGAACCCAGTGTGCAGTCTCTCTCTAGTATAGAGACAAATAGCTAAACAAAAATTAAAATTGCCAAAATATTTTAGAACACCCACTACAGCAATATTAAGTTGCCTTTTCCATGTTTAAAGAATGAAGGTTTTAATTAAATGCTCATTTTCTTTTTTTTTTACTTAAAATAAGCAACAACTGTATGCAAGACATAGTACATTGTGGCTCACACAGAGGTGTAGGACACGTCTGTTCTCTCAGGAAATGAGTTTTAATATTTATCTTTTGGAAATTTTATGTTATTTCTGTGCTTTATTGCTTTAGCCATATTTATGTAGTACATAAAATTAAATATTTGATGATTACATGTCTTGTAATGAACGAGTCTCATTGTGTTATTTAGAGAAGTAAATGGTACAGATGTGTTGACCATAAAATTTATCCTAAAAAGTTACTTTTGAGTAATTTGCAAATGGCAGCTTATTTTTGTTGCCTTGGCTTTTAAGAGTTGTATTATGCAGGATAATTGGGTTCTTATTGAAATTTTACTTTGTTAAAATGTTTACAGTAAAATATAAATATTTAGTCTCACCACCCTTTTTTCCCTTTTTTAAAAAAATTTAGAGGCAATTATTTTATGTATTAATCCCCTTGTTCCCTCTCCTTCCCACCATTGAGTGTCTCCTACCAACCTCCCCAACCCACCCTCACCACCATTTTTGAGACAATTTCTCTGTATAGCCCTGGCTATTCTGCCTCCCAAATGCTGGAATGAAAGGCGTATGCCACCACCACCCACCATCACTACCCTTTTTGGTTTGTGTGTTGAAGTCCAGTAGCCTTCACATATATGCATAATATTGTAACTAACAGTAGAGAAAACTATTCATGGTCCATCATTTGCTTAATAATTTCCTAGTATTATCACTGTCAACCTAATTTTAAGTATACTAATTAGGTAAAATTTGCAACTTTTGATACTATGTTTTTATTTTCATTCTAAAGTATAAGAACAAATTTAAGTCGTTTGTTTCTTTTACCTAATACCTCTTAAATGATTAATCTTAAAAATGCATTACATATGTAAATTAAAAAATCAACTATAATTATATATTAAAATGATTTGTTGCTGTTTCAGAGACTGGATTAGCATAAACAGTTAGAAAACTATCAGTTATTAACTACCACAGCCCACTTTCTTGCTAAGAAAAATCATAGTTGCTGTATTACAATGTGTTATTTTGATGTTTTATGTCATTTACAGAGAATAATTTAGTAAATGAGATCCTGTATATTCTCTTAATGCAACTGTTGCTTCTTTTTATTTTATTATTATTTTTAGGTTTTGTTTTCTTTGATACATCTGGTGTGCAGTTTCCCATCCCTCCACTCCTCTTATTGTCCCCTCCATCCCACCTTCGCCCTCCCCCAGATCCACTCCTGTTTTTGCTTCTTCTTCTGCCTTATTTTCCCCTCAGAGACAGGGTTTCTCTATGTAGTCCTGGGTGTCCTGGAACTGGCTCTGTAGACCAAGTTGTCCTTGAATTTACAGATTTTCCTGCCTATGCCTTCCGAGTGCTGGAATTAAAGGGTTGTGCCTGGCAAAAATTGTTTTGCTTCTGAAGCATACTTGATCAGACACTATTTAGAATGGAGCACTTTTTCCTTAGCAAGGATAGATTCTTATATTCTCCTTGTGGCTGGTATCTTGTGTAGGTGGGAGAGTAAGGGTCAAGGTTAAGCTTACTGTCTGACTTAAAATTAGTTTTACTGACTTTGTTTCACATTGTAATGCTTAATGCTTATCATGCACTAACGCTTATTTTGTAGGGTGGCAGTCCAGGGTCAAGGCAGTGGAGCCTTTTGTGTTCATAGGAATTCCTATGTTTTAAAATACTACTTTTAAAAAAGGAAAGGTGGCCGGTCAGGTTGTTAACAGATGTGTTTAGGTCTTTCATTTAGTGTGAGAAAGTTTACTTTTTGAAAAGCTTATGGTAAAATGTTCTCAACATTATTTTACTGTCTTTTTTGTACTAACTAAAATACCAGTATTTTTGTATGTGAACAATATTTTGCATATAGCTAATTTAAGGAAGCTAACTTTATTTTCTAATTGGGCAAAATATCCCCTTTTTTTTCTATGAAAACCACACAATAAAGAAAACATTTAAAATAGTGTAGCCTTCTTATGCAGCTGATCGTACAGTCTAAGTTAGTGTGATTCATTGCTGTAGTTAAGTGTTACCTAAGAGTAGATTTTAAATGCTTGCCAATGTACATACGAATGGATTTGGCTGAGTACTGATATGCTTTTGCCCCTTGTTCCTAATTATCCTTGCCTTGTTTCTGCAGCCACAGAACCTTGGCCTGAAAATGCGACCTTATATCAGCAACTAAGAGGTAGGTTCTTATTCACAATTAAAAATGGCTTTGTATTAAAGTATACTTATAGCTAACAACAAACTCCCAAGCTAAACTGAACCAGCTGGCCAACCAAATAAACAAATGCAACCCACAGATGTGCTAATTTCCTGCAACGAGAATGTAAAACACAAAAGAAGGGATTCCCTTGTATAATTTGTCTACAAGGTTTTGCTTAAACTTCTATCTGTTAGGTAAACCAACTATTCATAGCCTATAAGGTCCTTAGTTTATTATTGACTCATTATATTGGTTGCCGTAGGCAGTGTAAAATGATGTGGTTGCAGGAGCACTTGGCAGATTTACTGCACCAATAGCTGAGACAGCAGATTTTTGAAGTCCTGTGGTAAAGTGGGCTCTCAGTAAAAAGGAACTGTTAAAATGTATAGGCTAGGATGGTTCAGGCTCCCTTTAGCAGCTCTTCATATATCATCAGATCACATTATGGACCCCATTTGGGGCTCAGCAGCCTGCTACAGTTGTCAGAAGACTGCAAAGTAATGAAGACTAATAGGCAGCAGCCCCGTCTTCTAAGCATGGAATTTTTATTGCAGCGAACTTGTCATCTTTCTTTTGTGTGACAGACCTAGACACACTGCAATATTAACTGTAAGCTGGTTTATGTGGTTGTGAATACTTTTACTTTAAACTAGAGAGATTTGAAGATACTGTTTTACTTCATTTTAATGAAAAGAAAAAATATTTCTTAAAACTGTAAAAGTGAATGTGTTTTTAAATAAGTAAATTTAATTGCTGATTAAATGAGATAAATGATCAAATAGTTTTAGAACTATCCTATTTTATCATTATTTATACATGGTAATTTATTTGAAACTATTACATAACAGCATTGATATAAAGGTTCATAATTGCTTTAGTGTAGGATATCTCTTTTAAAAATAGAAATAGCTTCTGAAAATATTTTAAATATATTTTGCTTATTTAGCAGTTAAACTTCGGACTCAGACCTTTCTTTATGTTTCCACAGGGGAGCAAATTTTGCTTTCTGACAATGCAGCATCTCTTGCTGTGCAGGTAAATATGTAAATAATGTAATTTTGTTCTTTGTGCTAGGGGGTGTATGTCATTTTGAGTGGCAGTACACCTCCTACTGAAAATCTGATGCTGTATATTTAGAGTTTTTCTGTGTGATTTAACTATTCTCAGTATAATCTTACTCTTCTGTGAAGTATAATTTTATACAGTATTTTCAATTGTCAGTATGTAAAATAAACTTCATTATCCATTTCTTTAAGCAAAATTATTTCTAGGTAGTAGGCATTGTATCTTAGCAGTTTTGTTTTTGGTTATATATAGTATTTTATTTGGGGTGATAATTTCACTTACAGACTCAAAATTATTTTCTAGCTTATTGCAAAGAGTTATTCACTACATATTTTTAATCATCATTCTACTTATTATATATATGCTAACCTTAATTCTGTCTGTCTGTCTTGAAGCAGATAGATTCTTTCTAACTACTCATCATATATTTATTGATTACATGTATATTTATTATTCCCAGACCACTTATTGAATGCAATTGCTTTTTAAATTTTATGTTACAGCTGTGTAATCAAAAAAAAAAAAAAGATGTTTGGCAGTACAAACTTAAAATTGCACTATAGAGTACATGGAGAATTGTTTACTTGAAGAAAGTTAATGTTTCTGAAGTTGTAAAATTATATAAACATTTTACATATTTAGCTGCTAAGGTGCTTAGTTTATGTAGTTTGAATCACAAAGAAGATTGTGCATCATGTAAAAGGAATCTGGAGCTATGTGACATTTATTGGAGGTGAGACTGTAGGCTCCTGGAGGACAAAGAGAAAGGGGAGGAGAGTAAGTATTTATCAAGCTTTTGTCATGTTGGAAGCATAATGCTAAGCATTTAATTTTAGGTCATCTCATTTATATTTTTTATTTAATTTGATAACCTCTGGGTTTAATACCAGTGTCTAGTACTGTCATTCACTATGGCAGTAGATAGTATGGCATTCATCTTTGTTGTAAGGCAGAGAAGGAAAGAAGAAAAGGGAAGAAATGTGCTTGGACATTAATTTACTAGTTGGTGGATCTATTTTTTTTATATTTGTTTTGTATCTTTTACCAAAAGTATAAATTATATTTTTTCCTTTGTCGTTAGATTCCATTTAATTAATCTTTATTTTTTTATCATTTGGTAAATAAATTTTCAGTTATGTGTAATAAATATAGCCTTTATACAGCTTTTATTAATCCCTTTAGTGAGATAAATGGAATTTAACGTTTTATACACACACACCCACACACCCACACCCACCCACCCACCCAGAGAGAGAGAGACACACACACACACAGAGAGTGAGACACACACACACACAGAGAGTGAGACACACACACACACAGAGAGTGAGACACACACACACACAGAGAGTGAGACACACACACACACAGAGAGTGAGACACACACACACACAGAGAGTGAGACACACACACACACAGAGAGTGAGACACACACACACACAGAGAGTGAGACACACACACACACACACACACACACACAGAGAGAGAGAGAGACAGAGTTGCCTGGAATAAAGAATGCACTTAGTAGATGTATATTATATAAATGGTTTGTTAGTATGGTGAAGCAATCTTGCCTGATAAATGATGGTGCAAATAAATTATTTGCTGTGTGTAAAATAATATTTTCAATCTTTGTGTCTTTGAAAAGGTAGCTTCAGGGCATGGTGAATATTTTAGTTGAAGCATTGTTTCTTGACCCCTTTTAATTGCCATTTGGGGGGTAGCTCTTCAAGGATTTAACAAAGCTAATTAACATATTCTCAGAAAAATCTTCTAGTGCATGCAATAAAAGAAAAATGTACCAGCCTGTTTTGTGTGTGATTTCAGCAGGTTTACTCCTTAACTGAAGTCACCTAAGGGTCCCTTACAAAGAGTCCTTAAAATGAAATCTATTCTAGGGAGTACTGCAGTAATTAATTTTGAACAAATAGGAAAGATTTTTTTTTTTTTTTTTTTTTTTTTTGAGTAGGAATAGACTACTAATGATTTCAGCTAGGGAGAGTTTGGCTCCTTGAAGACATGATAGAGGTTTAGGCATGTGGGTTGTCAGAACTGTTGGAGGAATGCCATTGGATATCCCCATTAGTAGACACCAAGGGTGCTGCTCACTCACTATTCCACAGTGTATAGGTCAGCTTTCTACAGTGAGCTCTTCACTTCCAAATATAAATAGTGTCAAGTTTGAAAGGCCAAAGGCTAGATGGTTTAATCAGTTTTTGTACAAAGCAAAATATGAGAATATTACTGTTTTAAAAATTGATATTTACGTTTTTCTTGGAAGGGAAAATTAAAAAGACCTAACTTGGTATATATTATTGATGTTATGGCTCCTATTAATTTGTTTTCTCACCATAGTTTCTCAAATTATAGTTGCAACTGAAAATAACTCCAAAAAGGCACTTTTAAAATAATTGAATTTTGCTTAACCATTTCAATTTTTTATCCTACATATGTCACTTAGATGATAAATTAACCAGCATATATTAAAAACTCTTGGTTTTCTTCAATATTCTTTGACTTGACAGCTGATAGTAGCCATGACTATAAATGTGACTTTGTCACATATCTGATATAAACTTTATGGAGTAATTTTCTTCTGTATAGAGGATCAGCATCTGTTTAGAAGAACCAGCTAAGGGTTTGCTGTATAAAATTGATCAAAACAACATGACAAGTATCTATAAACTGTATATTTTCTAGAAGATAACAGATATAAAACATTGGACATTTTAATAGTCCACCAATTATGTCATCAGGAAATTCAGATTTTACTATCACACAGGCAGGTGTTTATTATATTCTGGAAGCTAAAGTGCTTGGCTATTTTTAATGAAAGGCCTTTATGACTCCAGTTTAAAAGAAAACAGTTTTCCTCCTGGTGATCATTTCCCCTGTGATTTGCTTTCTTTGTGTCATCTATCTGCAAGTGTAGGCTTACCTGAGTGCTGCTTGGCCATAATGTGATCTTGATTGCTGACTGTAGTGAAAAGTTAGTCTGATATATTTTCATGAGCTCAGTGTTTGTATAACATTGTATACACACATGAATAGAGACATTTCTCATTGTAAAGTACTACTTTGAGGAACTTGGGCTTATATTGATTGGTAAAACAAACCTGATAATTCTGTTACTATTTTCTCTTACACTCCAAACTTAGACCAAGTAAGTATCCAGTAGACAATATGGTGCTAGCCACTAAGTAATTCAAAATTTCTAGTAATCTCATTTAAAAAAAAAGGTAGTTAATTTTAGTAATGTTTTATTTAGCCTATTATATCAAAATATTTTTATAATCAATACAAAATTTATTTTACTTTTTCAAATGAAATTTAAAGTCTGATGTGTACACTTAGAGTTCATCTGTTTGTGCTAGTCATGTTTCATATGTTTCATATGCTCAATAGCCATATGTAACTGTTGGCTCTTGTATTGGACAGTGCTAGTTTAAAAATACAACATGAACAAATACATATGAATTCTTAAGCTTTTTATAAAAAATGCTTTTAAAAAACTTAAGAAATTTTGGGTGTGTACTGTATTCCTTTAATCTCAGTACTCAGGAGGTAGAGGTAGGCATGTCTTGTTTAAGGACAGCCTGGTTTATATAATGAGTTCCAACATTGCCAGGGCGATATAGAGAGAACCTGTCTCAACAACAGCATTAAAGAAGTTATGTCTATACTCCTTAAGTCAGAATATGTTTAATTATATAGCAAATTCCACAGAGAGAAATGGACAGTTTATCTCTGTTCCAAGGACAGTAAACCTTCAGAATTCTGTTTCAACTTTCTCTGTAAAATAGACATAAAGTAGATACTGACCGATTGGCTAGTGGGAATCGAATGTATTAACATATTTAAAACACTTAGAAAGATATTTGCAGTATTGTAAATATGCAGTGGAAGTTGATTGTTTCCTTCTGTCCTGATTCTTGGCAGAAATACATTCAATCAATTTCAACAAGGTAAGTAGAAACTTTCAGGCTTGATAATGCCCAAAGAACACTACTGGGAATAAATATTATATATAAGGTTTTAAGGGGAACATTTATATTGACATGAACATTAATGATATTATAGGCACATTTACAGGATTCTGTTAATTCTTTAGGAATTTCATATGTGAATTTTGATATTTACCCTGTTACTCCTTCCCACCTCTTCCAGATCCAATTCCCATTCTCACCCTTTCCCAACCTTGTAGCCTTTTTTTCTTTTTATTACCCACCAAGTCCAGTGTCTGCTGCATATACACTTTGTGTAACCATGTTTTCATGCTATACATAAAAATGATAATGCGTAAACCTAATGTTATCTAAGAATATTAAGACTTGTTTTAAAATTTAATATTAAATATATATTAAATGTAACCAATTTGACTGAGAGCTTTTATATAGAGTATTATGATCAATCCTTACTACAACACAACACAGGGAGCTACTATAACTCTAATTTTTAAAATGTGGGGCTAGAGAGATGTCTTCATGGTTAAGAGCAGTGGCTGCTCTTCCAGAGGACCCTGGTTCAGTTCCCAGCATCCACATGGCAGCACACAATTGTTTGTAACTCCAGTTCCAGGCAACACATGGTGCAAAGACATACATGCAAAACACCCACACACATGAAAAAAAAAATAAAAATCAAGATGTGGTACATAAATAAAATCCTAATATTTTGGATACTGAGGCAGAAGGTTCACAAATTTAAATCCAGCTGTGGCTAGATGAGTTTTAGGCCAGCATAGGCTATATATTGAGAGCACAGTCTTTAAACAACCAACAACAAAGCCTGAAAACACAAAACAAAAAGTAGAAATCTTTTAAGTCCAGAGCTGATCTTTTAAAGACACAGAGCCCACTAATTATGGAGGAAAACAGAAAGCAATAGTATTGGATGAGTCCTGTGTATGGGTGACACTGCTGAGCACCTTATTTTTATTAGCTTAATCCTTAATATGAGGCTAGTGCTGT